AATGTTGAAGAACTAATGACAAGGATGGAGGCAAGGAGATGACTCCCATGAGAAGTTGAGCTACTAAAATTGTATTACAGGATGTCGTTACGCTCAGCAAGGACACAATACTGGACCATGACACAGTCGATAAGATGTTCGTGGGCTATTTCTTCAAGTGACTTCGCCACTGAAATGTGGCATAGTATAATGAGCGGATACTCCCGCTTTCCGGTGCACGATCCAGAAAACTCGTTGTCTTTTGTCGGGCTTTTGTTAGTTAAGAAGGTTAGCTTGTTTATTCCTGAACGTATCCCCTTTTAACACATACATATTGTGCATAGTTAATAACCTACGACCCTGCCCAATCCCTACCTGTGTCAAGCTTTGCGCTGTCTATCTTGCCTGAGGCTCACCCCTCAATTAACTGTTTCCAGGCGTTGGACTATTTGTGAGGATACCATTTCCTTTTACATAGTAACCCTCATCTCACCCACCCTCCAGTCAAACTGGGCGAGCCCATCTCCTCCTTATATCACGCACTCCAGGGGTAGCAGGTGGCGCTATTGGAGTTGTTACCCTTGAAGGTGAGCTTTCGCTCGGTCCAGACTGATCATGAAGAGGATTAACTCCCCGACCTTGTAGACATTATCGAAGAAATAATCACTGAGGAGATTGTCGATGAGACGGACCGCTACGACGATAACGTTAACAAACGGCGGGCCAAGCGGTTGACCAATGCTGCTATCATGAAGGGGTAGGTCAAAGAGCGAGACGTTCACTATCATTTAAGCTTAATGATTGTCAGGATCGTCGAGCGCCAACGGAATGCCTCGATATCCTCTCCTGTGAATGAGAGTACACCATTGCTGGGAAGAGATCGCAATTCACAGTGAATTACCTGCGGGTGAGGAAGATATCTTCGAGAAGATTGTTCTTCGTTCTATTCACGTTCGCTTTTCCGAGTTGGAATCTTTGTCATTGTCGTGAATCTATGTGTTCAAAGTTATCCGGTGTCTTTGACCTTCGTTTCTTAGTGAGCGAAGCTCGTCCTCGCAGGTGGTATCGTTACTTCTTTGCGCTTGCAAGGTACCACGCATGGATCTTGGAGACTGCCCAACAAATTATAGCGTCTATCCAGGAAAAGGTGGCCCACGTCATCCTTCTCAAGCACGCCCAGCGTTATTTTTGACTGCATCTTGATCGACATATAACAGATAATGCTCCTCCTAGCACGTCAGAAACATGACCATTCGTTGGTTTCTATCAGGAACGAACCGAATTAACGTCCCGTCTTGGTCTCTCTGTACGCAACCGCGTAGTACGCCACGTTACCTCTTTCCGGTGCGTGGATCCGAAGCTGCACATGCTTCAACTTCTGGTCGGAGCGGACTTTGCGTATTTGAGGCCCAGCGAACTCGACGTACTGTATTTCGGATGAAGCTTATTTCTATTATGAACCTACAACTCACAGCACACAAGGTCCCAAAATTCAATATTCAAGGCGAAAGACCGAACAGAAACACGAGTCGTGATACTTTAGCATGTGGTCGTTTTGATATGCCGATGGTCCCGCTGGCCCGTGTGTGTAACATTCAGATGTGATGGTGCAAATCAACGAACTAAGCTATCCAAAGATGCGATACGTGTACGGGAAGTTGAGCTTGCGTCTACAGGCGAGCATCCTGAGCGGGCTCGGAAGTGGTTGCTGTTCTCCGTAAGTCCGAATTTACCGAGTCTCCCAAAAGTGCCACGTCACACTTTTTTTGTTCTATCCCTCATCTCCTCCGAGTCCCTTTCCCTCCGAGCAATAGGCGTTCTTCTCCAGTAGCGTTGCGTTCTTCACTTTTCACATGTTTTCGAATTTCTGGAGACTGATGTGGAAGAAGTAATTGGTTTTTGTTATCAGCGATGTCCAATGGACTGCGGATTCCCTTTGCTTTTGCGGATGCTTGTGTACTAAGGTATTGGATGGTGTACCTTTCTGTGATCTTCCGACAGTGATGGCTCGTCGTCAGGCGCAATATTCTTCTTCACCCGGAGATGCTTCGTGGAAGGATCTACTCGCCTCAATTTTATAAGTCCGCAAAGCAACTGACAAGGCTGCCGTTCGAATATTCTTTATATTTCAAGACATTCTGGAATGGAGAGACTTACGGTATTACATTGCCACTCTTTCCAGTACTCGTAAAAGGTTCGCCTGTGCACATCGTGCCCAGGCTCGGCGTCCGTGATGTGGTCAAAATGATCGGATGATTTCCTATCGGTTTTACCTGGTCGACCATCATCAGAGTCTGTTGGCGAACGATATAGGTCACTGTCGTCTACGCATATTATAACTAACCTCAAAAATGACTGGCAGAGCCATACGTCCTCATGCCAAGTCACGAACGGGTTGTGCTACGTGCAAGCGAAGAAAAGTCAAGGTAAGCCCTCGCGTGCCGTTGCTAGTCGTATTCTCAATGGTTTATAGTGCGACGAAGAATATCCTGTGTGTGGAAATTGCACAAAGAGGAAGGTGGACTGCACCTGGCCTCCGAAAACCTTCAGATTTGTGAACTCGTCGCCTGAAACACGAGTTTCCTCTGCCTCTATTTCGACCGCCTTGTCGCGTCGACGGCCTAAAGAGATCTCAGTACTCTCTACTTTCCAGCATCCCGATGCTTCTTTTGTTCTCAGTGCGCGGACATTGGAGCTTATGTATCATTACACTGGCATGACGTGCTACACTCTCACTTTCGTCAATGAAGCCAATCTGGATAGCGTATGGAACTCTGCAGTACCGAGGCTATCCTTTACTGCCAACGGTTCTCATCTTCTCCATGCTATCCTGGCGGTCACTGCCCTTCACCTCCATTCCCTCGACCCCACGAGCCCGAGTGCCGGACGATATTCCTATGCGGCCACCGTACACTGTAACGCGGCATTGGCGGGGCTCACCATTCCTTCCTATGATAGTGCCAATCTCATCCCTTTCGTGCTCACCCTCTCGGTAATCGTCGTATATGGTTTTGCCATATCGCCTCCTTCATTGACTTCCTCCAACTCGCGGTTCCGGAACTGGTTACGTGTCCTTCGAGTCTTGACTAAAACATGCCAGCAATGGCCGGCCCTTCCCCAAGGTGTGACCGGTCCGTTGGCTAGTAGGTTTCCAGTGTCTCCTTCATCGCTACTATCGGCGCTGCAAAACCCCGAGTCCGGATATATATTCCCCCAATTCCTGTCTACTCTCCCGTTTCCCACTCCGGGCGCCCCAGACCCAGAAGAAGTCGCTGATGAGGAGGTGTCAGCGGACTATCAGCGGGCTCTTACATTACTGCAGCTTGCGTGGAAGGCATCGTTTATTCCTCAATATCAGGGATACGCGCTCCTTGCATGGTTTGCGGGCGTCTCCGACAGATTTTTGACGTTCTTGTTTGAACGGCGCCCGAGGGCCCTCTTGCTTACAGTTCACTACTGCGTCATAATGCAAAGTATGGAGCGGAAGAACGTAGATCCGAACTGTCCGTCCTCATGGTGGGCTCAGAGAAAGAATAAGTGGGATGACATCATCATGGAACTAATGTCCCAGGTCGGACCACAGTGGACCGAGTGGGTACGTCGAAATGCATAACGTGAATTATCACTGCATAGACCCTTGAGTGCCGCAATGTTAACCCCTAATGTAGTCTAATGAGATAATTATTTTATACTTAAGCAATGCATAAGAAGTCACTCCGTACTTTAAAAGAATGTCGTCTACATTAATGGCATTGAAAATAGGTTGTAAAGCACTCAGTTGATTCGACGTCCCAGAGGTATAACGAAAGAGCCATCCACTAAAAATTCACTGACAAGGAACGCACGATCCACTCGGAACTCAAGCCCGAACGGGCAACTTATAAAGCTAAATCTAACATGAATGTGGGGTGCTAGTGTATTGTATTACGCATGAAACCCGGGAGCTACATAGCATGTATGATGATGGTGGTGATCTGGATTGGTGACCCGCAGCACGCCTCGTGATGGGCGAAGACGCGGGGGTATAGTACTCTACTGCTATATACGTCTGTACCACTAGTCGTTGTAACTAGCTATTCTAATGATCGGCTCTATGGGTTGTGTAACTATGAGGTGGAATTCTACGTAAGATTTTTCTGTCTCGTTTTGGTTTGCGTTCAGTGGAATCTGAGTCTATGGAAAGGAAAGAATAAATACATAAATAAGGGGGGGTATCACTGCCCCAGGTTCTGGTGACGTTCCTATGTTTCTATATTTCTTCTTCTTCTTTTTGTGCGGCTCGGGTTCGTCTTCCCACAGCGGCAGTCCCACTTCTCTTCTTAGATTTCCGATCTTTGTGGTGGCGGGCTGACTCTGCTACTAGGAAACTTACCACCACTTCGATTCCTTCCGTTGTACCCCCAAGGTCGCACATGATCATGCTCTGTGATTCCTCACGGAGCATGTGCCGATATTCATTGCATCTCGTGCACATTCGTATAATGTGTTCTCGTGTTTGAAGACGCTGCCCACATTCGCAGCCGGTTTCCTCTGGAATGTTGAAGAGCTCGTAATACTCTCCTCTGTGCGGGTGCCCAGTGCCATCTTCCTCAGTCCCCTGTATTCACTCCGTCATTCTTCTCCGGGCATTTGCGTATGTGCGCTGTCCCACTGGTTGATTCACGGCCTGGCAGTGGCGCCCATGCCATCTCAATGGATGCTTCTTCATCTTCCTCTGGGAGCTTCAAGGCCATACTGTAGAATGTCGTTGCATGTTTTTGACCTGGTTTACATTTGGGGCATATGATGGCCCGGGAGCTAGTAGTTCACGACTTACATGATACTGAGTGCTTAGTCGCAACGTTTCCAGGAAATAATCCTTTCGCCAGCAGTAACAGAAACCTACAATTTACTACTCTTGAATCCCTAGTGAACACTTGAACCATGACTCTAAATTGAAAGTTCAAACTTCAAACTTCAAAATTATAATGTCCTTGAAACCTCGCCCTCCCCTAATAAAAACGTATTCTTCAAAACTCAAACGACACCAGCAGGATTTGAACCTGCGCACTCAGAGAGTAATAGATGAATCATGATTCGAATCTATCGCCTTAACCACTTGGCTATAGTGCCTTGCCGACTGACTCTCTGAGTATTTATAAGTATCGATTACAGCCGATTCTGCACCGCTTTAATGTGGTGGCACATCGTAGGCATGAACTTGATTTACGATACCTAGGTGGAATATTCCTCATAAATAGCCCTGGGGACGTATATCACGGTATGAAATGGTAAAACTGATAAAGGAACTAACCTGATATCGGCCATAGGCCCATAGCATCTTCGTAATTATCTTCTCACTTTTCTTTGGGCGAAGGAAGGCAAATACCGTTGAGACCTATGTCAAGAACTACACTACATGTAAGTGGGTGTGATCGTTAAAAATGACAGCCAAAATTGGCGACGGCCATAACCACATTTCACCTAAATCGGTAGGCGTATTGTAGGCGTCGGTGACGTCGATGGAGAAGAATTGCCATGGGAAACCCTTTATAAAGAAAGGCCTGGCACGTCACGAACACCAAGAATCACCGCCATCCTTTCTTTTGATCGTTGACCTGGGTTGATGGCGCTACGATCTATTGAAAGTCCATCGAAACAATCTAGGATGCAATTTAAGGAAGGGGTTCGCGGACAATGGAGAAAACACAAGTTTAGTGTTTGACTGTATGACAAGAGCTTTACTTGTAGCGTTGCAGAGTGTCGCGACCAGTAGCACGACATGGTACTCTGCAAGCCGTTCGAGAACTCGATATCGCAGGAATGTGCGTCCTGAAGTGAAACGGTCGTCGAGAAACATTGAAACATAGGTTACTTCAAAACAAGCAAAAATGATACAGTCGCATCGCGAGGCGAGTTATTTTTGGATGGCGGTGAAAGGTGCTCCAGTACCAAATAATATTGTCCGACCATAAATGCATAATTCAAGATATAGCTAGAACTGAAACTCCCATTGCTATCCCCGAGCTAGTGGAAGTGATGACGAAAAGAAACAGTTTCAGTCTGCGATTATCTGGTGGTCAGTGTTCCTCTGCAATCGAGAAAGCAGTCGGGATTCTGGAAGGAAAAGAATGAAGACACACACCTACTAGAACTTGGGGTTTGAACTTGAACAATGGTACTTACCCTAACCTTGTTACGTGTTCAACAGTATTCTCAAAGATAAAATAACTTGATGGACGCACATACCTCACTTTCAGGGTGATACTTGCGCAATGCCCTAAGCCCTAGTCGCGTGTGGATAATCAATTGACGAAAAGACGCAAAGAAGACGTGAATCGATATCGATTTCTGATGCCCTGCCCTAAATTAAGCACGTGACGGCGTACCTTTCTGAATCACGAAATTTTCCTCCTTGATCTCCTTCCTCCACCACCGCCCTTCTCCACGACCTTCAGATTTTCATTTTCCCGTACTAAAAGATGTCAACGCCTACGCTGTGGACGATTCCCAGACAGCCCAAGGGCAAGCCGGTACGTACAGCGTGGCTCTGATTGATATCGATATCTAAAGATGTCCTACAGATCCGGGCTGCAGCTGCTATTGGAGGGGTTCCCTTTAAGCTCCCGGATGCCTACACACACTATGCAGACAATCTGAAGCCTCCATTTTTGGGCAAATTCCCCCACGGAAAGATCCCAGCATGGGAGGATGGTGATTTCTTGCTGTTTGAGTGGTCTGCGATTGCTCGATACGGTGCGTAATTGCGAATTTTTGTGATTCATTTTCGTTCTCCTAGGATGAGATTCATTCATTCAGTTATCCCTGTCTTAACATCCGTGTCGACAGCATTACTAATTCTCTGATTACTTGTTCTTCTTTGTTACGATGGATACTGATATATTCGGTTCCCAGTCGCCTCAAAAGCTCCCAACTCGAACTTGCTCGGCTCGACTCCAGAGGAAGCTGCTCAAGTTGACCAGTGGATCCACCTTGCCGAGAGCGAAGTTGATGTCTATACTGTCCTCACCAACCATGTCTGCACCGGCAAAATCGCCGGCTACTCCAAACCTGCCCACACCTACTTCCTCGAGAAACAACTCCGTGCTCTGAAAACTCTTGATGCTTACCTTGCTAAGCACACTTTCTTCGTCGGCGAGCGCATCACCCTTGCTGACCTCAGTGTCGCTGCCTTCATACAATACGGCGCCGGCATCAGCATCGACGCCTCTGTCCGTGCTCAGGTTCCTCATCTCATCCGCCACCTCGAGACTATCGTCAATCAACCACAGCTGAAGGAGATCTATGGCCCCATCAACTACACCGAGAAGGGTGTGCAATTCGTCCCACCGAAGAAGGAGAAGGCTCCTGCTCCCCCCAAGGAGAAGAAGGCCGAGGAGAAGAAGCCAAAGAAGAAGGAGGTCGAGGACGACGATGCTGACGTGCCCGACGTTCCTCCCGAGCCCAAGGTTAAGAACCCTCTCGACGACCTCCCCAAGTCCACGTTCAACCTCGAGGACTGGAAACGGGCATACTCCAACAAGGATACCCGTGGTGCTGATGGATCCCTCGAGTGGTTCTACCAGAAGTATGTACCACCTTTTTTCTTCATTTTCCTACCCCCTCATGCTATTCTTCAGCTTCGATGCCGAAGGCTTTTCTATCTACCGCGTTGACTTTAAGTACAACGAAGAACTCACCCAGACGTTCATGTCTTCGAACCAGATCGGCGGATTCTTCAACCGTCTAGAGGCTTCGCGGAAGTACCTCTTCGGTTCCGTTGGTGTCTTAGGCCAGACCAACGACAGCGTCATCAGCGGTGTCCTTATTCTCCGTGGCCAGGACGTCGGCCCCGTTGTAGATGTTGCTCCCGATTGGGAGAGCTACAAGTATGAGAAGATCGATTTGAAGGACCAGCAGCAGAAAGCCTTCTTCGAGGGTGCTCTCGCTTGGGATTTGGAGCTCCTCGGCAAGAAGTGGGTCGATGGAAAGAATGTATGTCTTTTCCCCCTGCTCTGTCGTTCATCATATACTGATATCGTTGTCCGCAGTTCAAGTAATCTGATACTTATTTTGATGACTGTACTGTGTTGCTGCTGATCTGAGAGGTTTTGAGAGGTTGTTTGACTAGATAATGAAAAGAGTGTAACATATCCTTGAATGTTAACGGGTGCTGACTTGTTTGCTCTCATTCGAAGACCGTGACTGGAAGATATCTCGTTAATGCCGAAAATTTCTTAGGACGACTATTCCTCAGAATAGACTAGCGTCGGAAATTCACGAAGTATCGAGTCAAGGATCGAGGCCAAATTTGCATGATCATCGTGCTCGAGAAACCGAGAATTGTGAGAACTTTTTATGAGCTAAGACGGATCGAATCTTAACGTTGTATTCCAGACTGTCAAAAAGCCGCAGGTGGCTAGTTTGAGCTTCGCGAAGATTAGAAGGAAAGCTTTTCACTGAAAGGAACTTGACTGGTATGTCATTGACAAGACGGACATCTAGCATGTCCTCTAGGAGTGTTTCCTCTTATACGCAAGCCTTTGTTTGTACTGCAGCAACGTAGTGAAATACCGTCGATATAAAATAGCTTCACCGATCTTCCTTTGACATCGTTGTCGGAAAATACTCGGTCTGTCTGCCCTATTCCAATGCCAAAGATATCCTGAAGAGTATATTTGTCCTTGACATTCGTTCGATGTCATGTCAGGTACACGAGAACAGGCCCATGTTGATCCGCAAGAGGAGACGAGAACCTTACACTCGCCACGGTGATACCTGCATAAAGACAGCTCTCCCTCTCTAGCTCAAGGTGTGTCGCATACACCAGTTCCGTACAATGGCCATTGATCACGCGTTAGAAGCCGATGTAATAAATAAAAACATCCCGAGCTATTTCTAGCATTCTGTCCGATCTGTCTGTGAATTGATCATTTAACCACTGCGCAAGTGCCTGACTGACGCTACGCGTCCGTGGGTTAAATCCGTGAAGCAATTTCAGTCGTAGGCACTCATCGAACGCGCCCGGTATTCAACATGCTCTATGCAATCACGCCGTCATCACCAAGACCATCGGCCAGGAAGAAGAGTGCCAAACACGACGGCGCGATCCCACGGCTTCGCAGCTTGTTGATGGGCCGGAGACTGCGGATACGTGTGGTCGGGAATTCTGATGACACTGAAAGGATGGTTCCTTCCATCGATTCGCCAACTTAATCTCTTACTACTTTTCTCCCGCCGCCGACGATGTTGAGCGCTTTCCCGTTATTTCTCCTATGCTTGTCACTCGTTAACATCAACGGAGGTACGTTTCGCCACCTTTGTCATTCTAACTGGATAACAAAGACCGTCCTCTTGAAAGTCCTGGGCCAGGGATTAATATCCCGGCTCCCTATCCTCCATCGAGATACCAACACCACTTCCGCCGTCAATATCTCGTATATCCCCGATACCTGTTCGACCGATTGTAAAGTCCTCGTTTCTATCGTTGTGAGTCGCGCATGATCGTTCTCCCGAGTCTGAGCTTCACGGGACTCTGCGCAGGCCTGCGGAGATAGCATGGGCTCTTGCCTCTGCTCGACCAACTACAATGCGAGCGTGTCTAATTGTCTTACCTGCTTCACGAGTGCGGCTTCAGGTGACAACGAGGAGGCCATGCTCGAGGAGCTGGATGAGCGTAAGCACTAACAGGCCGTGTCGTCTTTGTTGTCGATCTCATACTCACGTCAGTGTACTCCGCATGCGAGGTCGCCGCTGTGGAAGCCGATGCCGCGACAACTGGAGGGATCAAGCAAGGCGCTATTCTAGCGGGGATTATGATAACCGCTTCGTGGACATTGATGTTCTAGCTCTGACTCTTGGTCAAAGATGTTATTTGGCGTTCGCCTATCCTTGCCACACACTCACTTGATATTTATTCATGAACGTCGTCTCCCAAATGGCTCTTGATTTATTTTTGGCGAAATGCAAAAGCGAATGTTACGACGAGAAGGTTCCCCGGGATTGTCTCCTTTGAGAAAACTGTTTACGGCTCAGATAGAGACGTGCTGCTGACTGAATATTTTGATCATGTTCAAAGTTCGGTGACGAGGTATCTATGCAGATTTCTCTACAGTAGCGCAGCAGTAGTAAGCATCGGCTATCATGCGCCAATGCCTGGCGCTGGGCAGGTAATTCATTGCAACAACCTGTATGTTCTCCTTATGAAGTACACACCGAGGTGTACGACACTGCTATGCAACTTGTATGCAAACCCAGATGTGCTTAAAAATAATCTGCATTTGCGGCATCAAAATCCTGGCGAAGCGCTTGTAAAAAATGGTAATTGATCTCCTGGAGGTTTTCTGCGTTACGTACTACTAAGAATACTAAGAATCCAGAATCCACTGTCCCTATGTCACATTAACATTCCTGCACCGGAATTAAGGTTGCGCACAAAACCCCCGGTTTAGGACCGGTAAGTTACCAGTAAGAAACCACAGAGCATATTTCATTGAGTAACTTACCGACCACGTGACAATATAACCATCAATTTAAATAACCTGACCGGTAAGAAACCTCCCCCCAGCAGGTTACGTGCGCAGCGGCCAGCCGTAACCAATGTGAAAATATCCAATGGGCCCGAGCGGGCAAAACCTCTCTGACTGGGAGTCGAACCCAGCTTTCGCGCGATATCAACAACTGAAAGGTGACAGGCGCGTGTACTAACCGATATACTATCAGAGATATACTAGCCAATGAGAAGCGGAATTATATCTGCTTTTACCATCGCTTTCAAAATGTACTACTTATCACCAGACCGTGACCTTCATGACGTGACCCCGAAAGGCACATTGTCCATTGTCGAAGTCTCGCAGTAATACTTATCTTCCTTTCTGACCAGCACCTGGGCGGTGATTAAAGTCACGAATGGTTTGCATATGTTCTGTATTCAGCGCCATCGTGATTTAAAGACCACCGGTAACATTTTCCAGCACGTTCCGACTGATCACTTCATTTTCATCAGTAGAACTTCTCCAAGTCGTACCGCTTCAGTCTGATGCCGTCTCTTACTGCACTATCATCTCCACTGCTGACCCTCTCGCAAGACAACCGAATGGAGCGTCGAAGAGCTGATCGCGATGCAAATATCTTACATCACATCTCTCGCTGGGACGCTTGGCGAAGAAAAACTTCACGATGTTATTGTCACCGCCCGGCCCCATTCCAGCCAATTCGAACGGGACACCGTCGAGATATCTGGCCTACGCACTACGCACCTTCGCCCCGTCAATGACGGAACAGCCCTGGCAGTGAATTATCCTACGTATAAGGCGTACCTTGCCCAAGCAGGAATATCCTGGTTGAACATTTCGAACTATCAGACGAATCCAGAAATGGAGAGCGCTCCTTAACATTAGGGTGAGGCCTTGATTAAGTCTGGCAATTTCGTCAGTGCGCGCTCATGACTCGATAGTGTTGCGCGGACCCAGAACCAGTTACGCCGGTGCCGTCGTGGAGAGAATAATCTAACCGTGCAGATATTGTTGATAAAACGGGCGAGGATGTCATCGTGTGGGGGGGGACCTGATAACAAGCGTGGTGAGCTCTGACGCGCCTGTGGCGTGCGAAATCGGCTTTAGATGGCCGACACCGCCACCCCAACCAACTGTTTTATCTCTCATCGTATTCTCTCTGGACGATATGAAGTACCCTTGATTTTGAAGGTATTGTTGCTACGATCATGACGGTGCCCAAACTTCCACGAGATAGCATGTGTCGTAACCTGAATCTCACTGGTCTCGGCAAGATGGCAACAACTGGGCAACAGGACCGTCAATCACTGATGCCTCTGGGTTCTTCGTAGTAACAGTGTCAAGCCTCGACGCATCGGCGAGGGGTCGCCAGACTGAGCTGGCGCCGTAAGTAAATAGCCAGGTCTTTGTTTCAGTAGCCTTCGAGTTCATAGTTTCCCTCAGGAAACAAGTAAAAGGGTCAATCCTCATTCCAGGAAAAACCTTGCTGTGCGCATGATTGAAGCCTACGGACGGCTGGAACTCATGAGTCGCCAGAGCAGGATGGTGGCTGTTCCTGTGGTTCGAGCTCGAGACTACCTCGTACAATCTTCGTTAAGCGCATCATGCTACCGGCGGTGCAGTATGCCTTAGTGATAGGGTTGGGCTGGGTGATCACGTCGATCAGAAACAGGTCCTTGAAGTTCAAAGTCCACATCCCCGACATGAGCGCCTGTGCGCGCTGCTCCGAAACATTTTGTAAGTAGTTTACCATGCGATATCAGTCGCCGATGAGATCCTGAAACATGGCTTCTGGAGTATAAAGCAGAATGGAATGTGCTGGAGAGAAACATAAACACACCATTCTCCTTTACGGGTTTCGCTACTTCTAATTCTTTGACCGTCTTTTTGTTCTACCTTCCTTCACATTCACCTACACGATGCTCAGTGCCGCTGCTGTGAGTGACCTCCGTCTTGGTCCTGATACCATGCTAATGTCTGTCTGTTTAGTTTATCACTTTCTTGACTGCCCTTTCCGGCGTCACTGCTTTGCCTTTCAGTCAGCTTGTCCGGTCTCTTCCCAGAGATATCGCCCATAGTCGCCGTCGACGAGGCAAGGGACACTTACCTCGCATTCAAGCGTGATGGTTCCCTCTACGGGAGGTATCCGGTCGATGCTGAGACCAGCATCGTTGAGCGTAGTGGCGCTAGCCAGTGCGCACAGCTGTCTGTCGCCGAGGCCCAAACCAGTAATGTAGTTCCTAGCCTCTACAAGTATGATGGTAATCAATTGACATTCTCAGTTCCTGGATGGAATGATCATTGTACAATACTGCAAACTCTAACTGGGGATCTGGCTCACGCAATATCGTTACGAACCCTACCGATGTAGCAATAATTCTTTGTTTCTTATATTGGTGATCTGACCATCATCATCTTTAGTACTGTCGACAGCCCTGCGCAGGTCTGTATCACGGATGATGTTGTTCAGCTGAGCTATTCAGGTTAGTTCACATGTTGTTTTGTTTTTTCATCGTTCTAACTTTAAGATAGGCGACCCGGTCTGCCAGACCCATACCACTACTTCCCAGGGGAGCCTTGTTGGTACTGAGGGTGAAGTCGACATTGAAGTTGACCAAGGATTTAACAGTGATAGTTCTTACACCGTCAGCTGTACGTGTTCTAATATCTTTCCCTGGCTACTATCTCATTATTCATTTGGCATTCAGCTGCGTCGACACTTGGTGTTTCCAACACGCTCAGTGTTAAAATCGGTGTTCCAGAAGTAGCCGAAGTAACTGAGGCATTCACCGTCTCTGCCTCAGTCACGGATACCACGTCGAGCACGTAAGCTATTCCATATTCCCTGCTTCCGATGACCTGACTCACTCGGTATATAGCATCGATACATCTTACAACGACGTGAGCAAAGTCACGATAAAGATGACTGCTCCCGAAGGCAAGACTTGCACGGCTGTGGTGCGTCTAAGTTCAATCTTGTGATCATGAGCGGCACGGTGACGTTTCCTCCTTAGACGAACACCAAGACTTGTAATATTCAGGCATCGGGCCAGATCCGCTACCTCGCGACCGGCTGGATTTGGTTCAACTACAACTCCGCGACCCATGGCCACTACAAATGTTAGTATTCCTGCCAGCACCTGGTTGCATAGTCTAATTCGTTCTTTTCTTATAGGGGCTGTCAGCATTGAAGCCGTCGTCACGAACCAGGATGACCGCTCGAGCTTTGCCACCTTCAAGGGCTCTATGGTTGCGAACACCGAGACCAGCTATGCTGGCAATTGTCAATAAATTTGACGTCACAGTCGCTGACTGTGCAGGTCTAGTATAAAGCCGCAGTCTTTGTACCACGTCAACTAACGAAAACACTTTCTCTTTGGTTATCTATCCGGTATTGATTGATCCTATTTAGTCTTTTATTCATAATATTCTCTAAACGACGAACATTCACTCTCCTTCTTAACACTCACGTTTAGTTTATCGCTTCGGTTGGATAGCAGCAAGCTGCTTCCTTGTATGATACCCTTATCAGATATGTAGATCATCATGTTTCGATAGCTTCATTATCATGATGTAACTATGCTAAGCTGATCCAGAGGATATTGTTGTCGACCTTTCAGCGCTTCCAATATATTCCCTAATCAATCATATCATTCCCTACATCCCGTACTGATAGTTGCCTCCAAATTAAACCGGAGACAGGTAAAACAGGCAGTGAGCCGGATCGCATGATGTCCGCGAGTCCCCGGGCGATGCTTCTCTGTCTTTCCCCACTTCCTCCCTCCCTTTTTTACACCCATGACTCTGTCTGATATCGAACGCGCAGAAAAATTCAGCATAGTTGGATTTGCTAGGGCCGGGATCAATCAGTCAACCATTGAGAAATTCGACGATGAGTGTGCGAAGGGGAGGGAGTGGTATGATGTGTTTGGGGTGAATGTCACAAGGAGCTTCAACAACAGTGAGCACCACTGGAGTCTTACACGAAAGGAAGAGGCTGATATTAATCTCACAGTGAACGAAGAGGAGCTGGCCTCCCTTTGTTTGGAAAGGTTCTCGTCCACGAGTAATCCGTATCATCCATGTTTCTTCGTTGTTCTAGACGAGAGAACGGAGAAAGACGGAAGCGTATCGTTGCACCAGCAGAGTGAAAATGGCGGAGACAGGATGTCTATCCGGGTCAGCCCTGCAACCATCCCATCACTCGTTGTATTACTGGATGCGGGAATGAAAGATATTCCCTACATCGTTGCCAACGATTGTCCTGAAGACGAGAACGAGGCTGAAGTTTGGGTGTACGACGTAGTGCGTCACTTTGCATCCATCTGTGAACTATACTAATTGGATGTATTACCAGCCTCTCGATTTTTCCGACATTCAGATCAATGTCAAAGTGCCTTCTAATGAATTCAAACGACAGTCACCCGGCCCCGATGACGACATAGAAACCTTGAAAAAGTCTGGAATACGGCTGTCTGCAGACTATGACGCGGCGAACGTGGAGTTAAAATGGTTTGGAGAAGCACCAGAAACCGTGTTGGTACAGGGCTTCATTTCCGAGAAAGAGAACCGTATCTTCGTGACTGGGGCTGGTGAATGAACGTAAGCGGTCCGCTATCCCGAATGTTGAAAGGTTTCATTGTCGCTGATTGATACATTGAGGACCGGGGAACTATGGAAAGGAGATAGGAAAAAGAATGTCCGGCAAAGGCCGTTAAGGCCCGTCGCAGTTTATGACGTGTTAAGGATTTTACATTGTGATATTTCCTGTCCCTGTCTTGGACCGAAACTCAAATCATATCTGACAAACAGGACGCGTTGAATTATCCAATCTAAGTGACTGGCCCATCCGTTTACCGGAATGAACAGCGAGTCTGTAACGTAAGGCGACAAGTTCAAAGTGATCCTTTATCCAAGATTGATACGTCCTACAACCTGTAGGGCAAGATTCATCGGCCAAAGCTGAGCGCAGAGAGTAGTGCTCATCCATGACCGATGTTATTTGCCATACAAGTTGAACCTAATTTTGCGAGACTAACGCTAAGGAAGTCACCAAACAGCGCGGACGTTTAGTAGAAGAAAACATCTGCGGAATCGATCAGTCGACGGATGGTGATGGACCACGAGACAGAGAAAACTTACGAACAAGAAAAGAGAGATCGAAAGCTGTAAACTGAGAAATGGAAGGAACATTGTTCATTACCGCATGTC